AGTGAGCGAGGAAGCGGGAGAGACAGGAAGCAACACGAGCTACATAGGGAGACTGAGAGGACGATAGAGAGATAGAGAGAGATACTCACATGGTGTTGAGGTTGCTGTTGTTGGTGGTGAAGGTGATGATGGTACAGCTGGTTATTTTGATAAAGGCCATGGTGCTTTGACTGACGGTGGTGATGGTGTCGTCGTTGATGATGATGGTGATGCCAGCCATGCTTATCATGCTGACGACGATGGCGGTGACGCTGATGACGATTGCGATGAAGATTTACGATGATGGTGCTGCTGCCGATGATGATGATGATGATGATGATGATGAGGATGATGATGATGACGATGATGATGATGATGATGATGATGCTGATGATGATGATGATGCTGATGAGGCTGCTGCTGCTGATGATACCGATGACGATGACGGCGACGACGATGATGATGATGATGATGATGATGATGAGGCTGATGCTGATGCTGATGATGCTGATGATGACGACGATGCTGCTGCTGCTGATGATGAAGATGCGGATGATGATGCTGATGATGCTAATGATGATGATGACGTTGCTGATGATGATGATGATGGTGATGATGATGATGATTCTGATGATGATGATGATGATGATGCTGATGAGGATGCACATGCAGTGGAGGCCGAGGGATGACGGGTTTGATCTGGAGGGAAGGGCAGGGGGCAAGCCGGAAGCTATGGCTTGGACGTGTGGTGAGGGGGGATGGAAGGATGGATGACGATGCGACGGGGAAGGATTGTATGTTGTTTGATGATGACGATGGTGCTGCTGCGGATGAAGATGAAGCTGCAGATGTTCATGCTGAAGATGACAATGGTGGTGATGATGCTGCTGCTGATGATGATGATGCTGATGATTTGGATGGTGACGACGATGATGATGATGCTGATGCTGATTATGATGGATGATGATGGCGACGATGAGGATGTCGATGATGATTACGAAGATCAGGATGGTGATGATAATGACTATGATGCTGATGCTGATGATGATGAGGATGGTGCTTTGGACGAGTATGATGCTGCTGCGTCTGTTGAGGATGGTTACGGTGCAACTGTTTACCCTGCTGATGATTGCGATGGTGATTGTGTTTATATTATTGATGCTGGTGATGGTGATGCTGGTGATGATGGTGATGCTGATGATTATGATGATGATGATGCTGATGATGCTGATTATGATCATGATGATGATGCTGATGCTGATGCTGCTGCTGATGTTGCTACTGCTGATGATGATGGTGACCATGCTGCTGCTGATGATGGTGATGATACTGACGATGGTGCTGCTGTTGATTATGCTGATGATTCTGCTGCTGCTGCTGCTGATGATGATGATGATGGTGATGATGATGATGTTGATGACGATGATGGGGTCGATGCTGCTGCTGATGATGATGATGATGCTGCTGCTGATGATGATGCTGGTTAATGATGATTGTGGTGGTGGTGATGATGATGACGACGATAATGGTAATGCTGATGACGCTGCTGATGCTGATGCTGCTGCTGCTGATGATGATGATGCTGATGATGACGACGACGACGGCGATGCTGATGCTTAGGCCGATGCTGATGATGCTGCTGATGATGATTATGCTGATGTTGATGATACTGCTACCGATGATGCTGCTGATGATGCTGCTGCTGATGATAATGATGTGATGCTGATGCTGATGATGCTGATGATGCTGATGATGATGCTGCTGATGCTAATGATAATGTTGATGCTGATGATGATGCTGCTGCTGATGATGCTGCTGCTGATGATGCTGCTGCTGATGATGGTGATGCTGCTGATGATGATGATGCTGATGCTGCTGCTGATGATGATGATGATGAGGATGATGATGAGGACGATGATGATGCTGATGCTGATGCTGATGCTGATGCTGCTGCTGATGATGATGATGATGATGATGCTACTGATGATGATGATGGTAGTGGTGGTGATACTTATGACTTTGATGGTGAGGAGGAGGAGCAGGGGGGGGAAGACGAGGAGGATGAGGAGGATGAGGATGATGATGATGATGATGATGATGATGATGATGATGATGATGATGATGATGATGATGATGATGATGATGATGATGCTGATGAGGAAGACGAGGAGAGGAGAATCGGAGAAGGGGAAGAGGAGGCAGTGGATGCGAAGGAGGAGTATGAGGTCGAATCTGAGGAGGAGGAGGAGGAGGAGGAGGAGGAGGAGCAGGAGCAGGAGCAGGAAGAGGAGGAGGAGGAGCATGAGGAGGAGCAGGAGGAGGAGTAGGAGGAGGAGGAGGAAGAACAGGAGGAGGACGAAAGGAGTAGATGAAGAAAGAGGTGGCGGGAGGAGGAGACAGGAAGGGAGTGATGGGGATGAGCGGAGAGATAGAGGGGAGGGGAGGGGAGGGGAGGGGAGGGGAGGGAGGGGATGTAATTGGAGGCGGAGGTAGAGGACGACGAAGCAAGATGAGGCGGGAGAGGAGGAGGGGGTCACACCGCCGAGGGCGATGGCATCGAGAAGCTGCACCTGCGACTTGCCAGCGGCGTCACCTGCTCCGTTCTCAAGCGGCAGGGGCTGGACGCGTTCCTCTCGCAGTGCTGCGACATGTTCGAGACCTACGTCTTCACCGCTGGGGTCGAGGAGTACGCCAGTGCCGTGCTCGACGCCATCGACACCGAGCGGAAGCTGGCTGGCCGCCTGTACCGGCAGCACTGCAGGGCCGTTAAGACGCCTGTCGGCGACCAGTTCCTAAAGGACCTGTCGGCGGTGGCCGGGCGCTGCCAGCGGAAGGACGTCGAGCGCATAGTATTGGTAGACAACAATCCCCTGTCCTTCGTGCTCCAGCGCGGGGGAGCAAGCCCTTGGCCGCGCGCACAGGGGGGTGGTGCGTGGGGGGTGGCCTTCGAAGAAGGCAGCGCGCTTCTTAGCAGGCAGGTGCCTTCTCAGAAGGGCGTGGACGCTCTGAGAAGGCTTCCCAGAAGCAGGGAGTGCTTCTCAGAAGGGCCCTGCCTTCTGCCCCCTTAGAAGCTCCCCCGCCTTCTTAGAAGGCCGCCCCTCGCGCTACCCCCCCAGTACGCGCCGCGCGAGCCATCGCCCGCCTCTCGGGTGCGGGAGGAGACGGGGCCCCCCCCATGCGCCCCTCTCTCCGAGCGCCCGCCTCGCGAGCAGCAGGAGCTGTCCGCCTCACGCGTGGAAAGGGAGCCGCTGTGGAGGGTCGTCTCCCTCCCCCTTCCCCTATTTCTCGTCCTCGTTCCCCTATTTGTCCTCCTCTCATTCTTACCTTCCCTCCTTCTTCTGGTTACCCTCCTCTTCGTCCTCCTCCTCCTTTCCTTATTATTCTTGCTCCTGCTATTATTTTTCCTCGTCGTCGTCCTCCCCCTCCTTGGAGCTTGAGGCAATTGAGTCATCCTGGCACTGCCATCCCCCTCCTCCTCCTCCTCCTCCGCTTCCTCTTCTTTCTCCTCCTCCTCCTCCTACTCCTCTTCTCCCTCTTCCCCCTCCTCCTCCTCCTCCTCCTCCTCCTCCTCCTCCTCCCACTCCTCTTTCTCCTCCTCCTCCTCCTTTACACTTTTCTCCTCTCCTCTCCTCTCCTCGTCCTCCTCCTCTTTCTCCTTCTTCTATCTCCTCTCCTCTTTCTCCTCTTCCTCCTCCTCCTCCTCTTCTCCCCCTTGCTTCCCCAGAGCACGCCTTTCGTCAGCGCGGCGGGACGAGGTTTGATCCCCCGCCCCGGCCGCAGAACGGCATCCCGGTGCCTGACTTCGTGGGCCAGACGGACGACATCTTCCCGTCGGTCATGGGCCTGCTCCAGAGGCTCGACGGCCAGCCCGGGGACGTGCGCGGCGTGCTCGATCCGCTCTTCCAGCTCGAGACGCGCCTCGAGTCCACGCGGCGGCAGCTGCTCGGCATCGGCGCGAGCAAGATCTGAGCGTGCCGCGTGCCTCCCGGGCCGCCTCCAAGCGGGGTCGGAGCCGATGGGCTCGCAGGATCGCGCCGCGTCGCCGATGCATCGGCGCTGCGGCGCGATCCGGGGCCCGATGCTTCTCCATCCCGGTGTCGCCGATGCGTCGCGATGCATCGGCGATGCGGTGCGATCCCCCGGTCCCACCCATCGGCTGTGCGTGAGAGTCTCGCCAGAGTGACCTGCGGTGCGTGCCCGAGGGGGCCCCCCGATCGTGGCTTGCACGCTTGGTCTTGGCTCCCTCGCGCTCCCCCTGAAGCCGCGCAGCAAAGGTCACTCTTGCTCAGGGTCACTCTCGCGTGCAGCCGAATCTGCTCCAGGCCCGTCTGGGCGGTCTCCAGTGCCAGGCACGAAGGCGGGGATACCATCGACCCGCCACGCGCCCTCTCCGGTCACGGTGTGTGTGTGTGTGTGTGTGTGCGCGGCCCCGCCGCGTTTTCTGGATTTGTGCACAACGTGCGACGGCCCCTCCTTCTCTCCCATTTGTACCTCCGTCTCTTCTACTTCTTTTGTCATCTTCCTCTTCCTCGTTCCGCAAACACAACTGACACGTTTTTTTTTTTTTTTTGCCACATTCGCGCCCGCTCGTGGGCGCCTCGTGGGCGACCCTTGCGCTTGGTGGGTTTCCCGCTGTTTCGCCACTTGCGCGCCTGTGCCTTCTGTGGGCGCCTCGCCAGTGCGCCGCGTGGGCACCTTGTTGACGCCGCATAGCTTACACCGCATATCTCAAGCCGCACAGCTTGCATCATACAGTTTACACCGCATGGCTTGCACCGCATAGCTCACACCACATGGCTCACGCCACATGTACGTTACATTCGCCAGTTCATACAGTTTTATCTTACACAACATAGCTTGTACCACGTAGCTTTCACCGCATGGCTCATGCCACATAGCTTACATGGCATAGCTTTCGCCAGCTAGCTCACTGCGTATAGCTCACTACGCCACCGCATATCTCACACCAGATGTTTTACATAGCTATCTCACGCCGCATAGCTTTCCGCAGCCATTTTGGCTCGGGGTCCAAAGGGGGTGAGAGCCCTGTTGTCTGTCTCGCTCAGTGGCGCCGCCCCGCTCGCGCGGTCTCCTCGGGGCGCGCGGCGGGTTGGGGTGGGAGCAGGCACGCCGTTAGCGGTGGCGCGCGGTGCAAAATCCGTCGGTTCGACGGTGCTTCGGCCGCTTCCTCCCCCCCCCTCGTCTCCATGGCTGGCGGCGGCGGGCTACCAGCCGTGCTCCTTGAGGGCGGGCGTTGGTGCTCGTGCGGGGCGGCTTGCCGGGGGCCGCCGCCAGTGGTCGGGATCATCCTCCACCAGTGGGCGTCGGGCTGAGAGGTGCCGGCCGCGGGCGTGCTGGGCTCGATGAGCGCGGCGGCCGTGCCAGCTCGGGTGCGCCGAGTGCGGGAGCTCCTGGCCCTCCTGCGGCCGGCGGCGGCGGAGCCCGAGGCTGAGCGGGGGTCAGGGCAAACGCTGCGGCACGAGGCCCCGCCGCACGAGCCCCCGAGCGAGGCGCGGGGTGGCGTGGCCGTGGCTCTGGCGGCCCAGCTGGCTCTTGGAGAGTGGCGAGTGCCGAGGCGCTCTGCCAGGGCGCGGCCGACGCGCCGCCGCGAGGGCACCAGTGGGCGCATGGCGCCGTTCGCGGCGCTCGTGGACGGCGGCGACGGAGACGACGACGCCCACGTGGAAGCGGTGACCGTCGAGGAAGGGCGAGGCGGGGACCTCGCCCGTCGCGCGCGTCGTCGGCGGTAGCGTCGACGATGAGGACGCGGTGCTCGACGTGGCGGTGGCGCGGGCACAGGCGGAGCGTGTTGGAGAGGGCTGCGGCCACTGGCTCCAGGCGCTTTCCAAGGCTACCAGGTGGGACCTGGCCCAGACGATGGCCTACATCTCCGCGGCGGCCTTGAAGCAGCAGCGGCAGCAACAGCTCGCAGCTGAGAGGCGCGGGCGCGCGGCGGCTGCCGTCCAGCGAGGCTGGCGGGCCCATCGGGACAGGCTGGCGTACCTGGAGGGCGAGCTGGCGGTGGCGGCGGCGGCCGAGGCAGCCGCGCGGAGGGCCGAGCCCACCCCGCCCGAGATGCTGTCCTAGGTATGGGTTGGAGCAGGGCCGACGCGGGCAGGAAAGCAGGAGCGCAATGTGATTGCGCTGGAGGAGGTCGTCGAGGGCGGCCTGGACGACGACGTCGGCTACGGCGTCGTGGATGGGGAGGGCAACGAGAATGGCGGCGGGATCTCTTGGAACGCGCGGCACTTCTCCCGCTGGCGGTGCCGTGCGTGCAGGGCTGAGGTCAACATCTGCGCCGAGTGCCGCCCGCGGAGCTCCCGTGCGATGGAGCGCGGGGGGGGGCCCCGGCGTCGCTCCTTCCCAATGGCGACGGCCGCTGGCGGCTCCGGTACGGCGGGCCGTTCCAGCGCCAGCCCGCGAGGTGGAGCGCCTTTGCCTGCGCAGCGCGAGCTTCTGCTACTCGTCAAGAACACCTGGGCCGCGCTGCCAGACGCCAGCGCCCTATGGGACTCGTTCGCCTCGGACTGCAGGCAGCAGGGAATCGGGCGGACGCGCCCTGAGGATGTCTCAACTTGCGTCCTGCTCGACTTCCTCAGCTCGAAGGGGGCCCTAGTGGCCCGGGTCAGAAGGATGCAGCAGATAGATGGTGAATCTGGGGCGGCCTGGCAAAGGTTTGCGCTCTGCGTGGCGGTGGCGCCCGCGACCCCGTCTGGCGCGGCGCCGCTTTCCTTCGCTGCTTCCTCCTCCGTGCGCCGTCGCCCCTTGGCGACGCCTGGCGCTTTGTACTCACGAGCGTAGGAAACTGCATTCATATGATGCCCCTAGACCGGCCACGTGCTATCCACCCCGACAGCGCATGGCTTCTCAGGCCGCAGCAAGGGCCGCCCGCCAGGCAGCTGCAGCGCTGGCGCTGGGCCGCCTGGCGCCGACGCCCCGCCTGCTGGGGCCTCCCTGCAGGCGGGCCGCTCCTCTCCCCTGTCCCCCCCTCCCTCTATCCCCCTGCGCGCCTTGTCCCCCCCTCTTCGCGTGCCGCCATGGCGCTCGCGCTTTTGCCGCAGCTGCCCCCCCCCCGTGTGGCAGTGCTCCTGGGCCTGGTCTTGCCACCCGCACCCACCTCGCGGGCCCGGCATTTTGGTGGTGGCAGCCTGAAGCTCAAATTGCTTGTGGACTTGCTGTGCCCTGTCAACCCATCCGTTCACCTGGGCAGCCTCCGGGCGCTTTGCGTGACGTGCAAATACCTGGTCCTACTTCACCGACGGCGTTACTGCGGTGTTTGCTTTCGCGTACTGGGCCCCGTTTTCGCCCGTTGGTGCCCTGGCGCTGCGGTCTAGCTGCTGCTATGGTCCCCGCTGACGGGGCTGGCCGCGCCAGCCCGCTCAGGTCGGGAGTCTTCCGCCTCTGAGTGCCCCCTCTTCCTCCCTCTTCCGCGGCCGCTTGTCCGTCTTTTCCCTTCGCCTGCACGCTGGTAAATTCGCCTTTCGGTGCCCCCGGTAAGCTCTACCGCTGGCGCAGCTGATGCCTCGCCGCCGACGAAACAACATTATACATGGGGGGTGATGTAGCCAGACCCTGCCTCGCTTTTTTTACACAGCTTCGAATGGAATGCTCAATTGCTTCGCTCATTCCGCCGACTCATATTGCTTCGCCGCTGTCGTTTGTCGGGGTGTTGTTGTTAATGCGGTGCCGATCTTTCGACGATTCGGAACCCTGTTGGACCGTCATGGGCGCCTTCTGGGGCCGTGTTGGGTCGCTCTGGGGCGCCTGAAAGCCGCGCTCAGGAGGAAAACCATCTGTGGCCCGACCCTTCCAGGGATCTGGCTGGGATACTTTGTGTCCAGGGACCCCTAAGGGCCACCCCGCGCGCGCGAAGTAGAAATATAGCGAGGCAGTTGCCAGAAATCTTAGCACGCCTCTGACCGTGCCTTGGTGGTGGGTCAGAGGCCTCATGGATGTTGGTGGGGCTCTAGCGGTTGGCCTCCCAGGGGCCTCTGGGAGGTAGTGGGGTGGTTTTTGGGGGCCCCTCGGGCCTTTTGGTGGCCTCTCGGGGCCCGGGCTGAAGGCTTGACTTTTCGGTTCCTGGTCCCCTTCTTGGGCCGTCTTGGGCGCTTTTTGGGCTGCATCTTGGGCTGTCTTGGGGCATTTTTGGGGGGTTTCTAGGCCGTTTTGGGCCAGCTTGTGGCCCTCTTGGGTTCTCTTGGGCCCATGTTGGGGGCTTGTCGGGCCGTCCGGAGACGATGTTGGAGGCCTTTGGGGCAGTTCTGGACGCTCTGAACCCCCAAAAGCCGCACATGCGAAACATGTGCGTTTTCCGAAAGTAATGGGACGATTCTGCTTGTTGGGGCCCTCTTGGAGGGCCTCTTGCGGCTCTCTTGGGACTTTTTCGCGGCCTCGGGGGCCATCTGGAAACCATTTTGAGCGTCTTGGAACGATCTTTCGGCGACTGGGGGCCTCTTGGGCCGTGTAGGGGCGTCCCGGCGCCATCTTGGCGCGCTCCTGGAACGCCTTGTGGGAGTCAGCCGGGTATCACCCGGGCATCGCCCAGGCATCGGCCGGGTATTTGTCGTCCAGGGGTCCCCACGGGCCGCCACGCGCGCGCGAACTAGAAGTACTGTTAACCTGTGACCGGAGATCTTAACAGAGGCGCCTCTGGCCCGTTGCGCCGGCGAATTGTCTGCTCCTGGCACCGCGCTGTCCTCGCTATTCTGTCAACTCTGCCGATCAGTTCCGCGAGATGTCAGAGCGAGCCCCTGCACCAGCCACCCTCTGTTTGCAGCACACCGCGCCCGTACCGTCAATGCGCTGAAACGGGAATCTCTTTGGGCTCAGGAGGGGTTCGAGCTTTGGGGCCGTTCCTTCGGACCCCAGGTCGCGGAGCTTCTCCGTGGCCGAGGCTCGCCGTGCGCGGGAACGCTCCTTCGCTCCTTCTTCGGCGCCTCCCGTGGTGGCGCGACGGCCGCATCGTCGGCGCTGCGCAGCCAGGCGGCCAGCCTGCCCACCAACCCCACCGACAGCGCGCCCAGGGCGCAGGCCCTGCGCGCCCTGTCGGATGTCGCTGCCGCCGGGCCTCTCCGCCCATGGCGCGGAGGCGCAGCCGGCGCCCTGGAAGCGCGCGGCCCCGGGCCTCTGCGCCCGGCGCGGCAGTCCAGCGGCGGGCGCTCCAGCCCTCGCGCTGCGCCCGCGCGGCCAGCCCCGAGGTCTGGCGCTGGGCCTCCTCGGCCCACCACCTGCCCGGTGCGACCGGCAGGGGTAAGTACGGAAAGAGCGGGCCGCGCGAAAGCGGGGGGACAGGGAGAGAGGGGGGCTACGAAATCTGCTGCATGCAGCTGGTTTCGGCCCCGCCGCCTGGCCCATTCCTCGACACACGAGGGCACCTCCCTGCGCCGGCAGGCGCCGGGAGAATCAGCTGCGCGAGCTGATTCCCTACCCTACCCTCTGCTATCCCCCATGTTCGTTCCCCCGAAAAGAGCGGGCACAAAGACCGACCTGTCCGACTTGCTGTCGGTATCGCCGCGGGCGTTGTCCACTTGAGGCAGCAGGCCGCCTGCCCGACAGCGGGCGCTGTCGGTTTTGAGAAACGTTTGTTGCTGGACATCGTGCCCATCTGTTCCGTACCTTTTTCGGCCGTCCGAACCTGCCGCCACCCCGTCTTCGTTTGGGTGGGGGCGCCTCGCAGCCGAGTGGTCACAGTGGCCAGTTGCTTGTTGCGATGGGCGCCGCTCTGCTCTGGCTGGCCCCGTCGCCCACGGCGTCTTCTCGTACACCGATTTCTCTCCCGACTCCGAGCCCGAAGCCGAGCCGGTCATGGGGAGTCTGGCGCTATTGTCCGACGACCACGCCTGGTCTGCCTCAGGTGTTGATTACGACCACGATCCCCAGGCTCAGCCCGACCCTGGGTCGGAGTACGACGCCAGTTCTCTGGCCGAGGTCGACGCCTGTTCTTGGCCAAGTTTAGGCCCGAGTCCAGCCGAGAGAGTGGCACGGTCGGCGAGCTTACACGATTTTGCCCGACACCAGGGCCGCAGCTGTCGGCGGCGCGCGCAGGGAGGTGGCGCGAGAGGGGCCTTCTAAGAAGCCGGGGAGCTCGTAGAAGGCAATGGCCAAGAGGCTTCTAAGAAGGCTTCTTCTTCTTCGTCTTAGGAGGCGGAGGAGGAGGAGGAGGAGAAGGAGGAGGAGGAGGGGGAGGAGGGGGAGGAGGAGGACGAGGAGGAGGAGGGGGAGGAGGAGGAGGAAGAGGTCTTCGAAGACGCCTCTCTAGTTTCTGAGGAGCCTCCGCCTTCCCAGAAAAGGCCGCCCCCGTCACGCCGCCCACCCTACCTGCGCGCGCCGCCAAAAATGGGCGGTGCCCTCTGCAGTTCCCGATCTCTGCATCGGCGTGTGGCTGCGTGCAGCGTCAGTGCCAACTCGGTGGGTATGTTTGTTCACCTCGTCTACGCGCAGGAGGGAAGGCTTTTTCGAAGCTCCCTGCTTCTCAGAAGGTGCGGGCCTTAGCTGTAGATGTGAGGCTGACGCCTTCTCAGAAGCAGCCTCCTTCTAAGAAGCCTTCTCCCCTCCCCCTGCCCCTTGTGTGCGCACCGCCAATCACCGCCCTCTGCCCTGCCACCGTTTGTCGCGTGTGGGTTCTTTCAGACCCAGGGTTTTGACGAGGTGCCCCGAGACAAGCCGTACATGCCATCTCTTTTTCGCCTTGACGTTTGGCCGCGTCGGTCGTTGCGCTGTCGTGGATCAGTGCGCCCGTCCAGCGAGATCACCGCGCTGTGCTTGCCTGACCTCTTCCTCTTCTTCCTCCTCTCCCTCTTCCGTGCCCACATCCCATGTCGCCTTCTTCATGCCCCTACTTGCGTCCTTTTGTTTTCTTTAGTCCATGCTCCTCCTTGCGTCCGCTTTGCCTTCCTCATGCTCCCCCTTTCGTCCTCAGCGTGGGGGTACCTCTAGTTCTCACCCCGATCCAGAGGCGCAGGCTCACCTCTAGAGTTTACTGCAATAGTCAGTTCCGGACAAGTTGTCTTGCATCCTGGGAGCGCGATCTTACAAGATCGGTCTCATCGTTATCGATCTCCCCCATCCCACTAGGATGGTTTCTGAAACGGGGGCAACGGCCGCTGGTGTGCCCGCGGCAGGCTTCCTAACTTGGGTTCCTTTTCTCGCGCAGATCCTGCGCTTCCACCCCTTGTTGTTGGTGTTGCTGTTGTTGTTGGTGTTGCTGTTGTTGTTGTTGTTGTTGTTGTTGTTGTTGAACATTATTACTTCTAAAGAATAATTATTGTTGGGACCCCTGGTGCACGACCCCCCCGCCGCGCCTAGGCCGCAGCCTCATTTTCATCATTTTCGTGAGGAAGTCTCAGGCAAAACGGGTTGGTCCGGATCCGGTTGTGTTGTTACGATCGGTTTTCCCTTGCAAAAAATAAGCTAAAGTGGACATTTCTTGTTCTAACATAACCAAACTTCAAGAATCCCTTGCAAAAAATAAGGTAAAGTGGACATTCGCGCGCGCAAGACGAAATCCTTCCAAAACCTTAGTTTTCGTAGCGATTTTAACATAAAACATCAAAAAAACAATGGTTTTTCAAAAAAAAATTGTCAAAATTTCATCCCGCGCGCTCTTGCGGATTCGTAGGAAACCCAACACTTTTTAAACATTTCTGTCAAACGGGCTTTTGCGAGCAACTTTTTCGAACTTCTGCAACAACGGTTGCGCACCTGCCAGGGCCATCATCCCTGTCAAATAATACCATGCGGGACACATTCGTTTTTTCTTCGCGCGCGCACGCCGTCGTCGTCGGCCGCGGGGCCCTGAATAGTAGCCACGGTCGTCCGCATGCCACGAAGTGAAGTGTCCGAACGTCATAGGGCGGGAAGCTGGGTGTGGGTGGTGGCGAAGAGTCGTTTGGAAATTTGGTAGAGCTTGAACCGGCCCCCCCACAAAGTGGGGGTATTGCCCGCCTCCTATGAAAACCCTGGCACTGGTGAGAACGGAGTGTCCCTAGTAATTGTTGTTGTTGTTGTTGTTGTTGTTGTTGTTCTGTTGTAGTTTGTGTAGTAGTAGTAGTGTAGTAGTAGTAGTAGTAGTAGTAGTAGTAGTAGTAGTAGTAGTAGTAGTAGTAGTAGTAGTAGTAGTAGTAGTAGTAGTAGTAGTAGTAGTAGTAGTAGTAGTAGTAGTAGTAGTAGTAGTAGTAGTAGTAGTAGTAGTAGTAGTAGTAGTAGTAGTAGTAGTAGTAGTAGTAGTAGTAGTAGTAGTAGTAGTAGTAGTAGTAGTAGTAGTAGTAGTAGTAGTAGTCGTAGTAGTAGTATTATTATTAGTAGTAGTAGTAGTAGTAGTACTAGTAGTAGTAGTAGTAGTAGTAGTAGTAGTAGTAGTAGTAGTACTAGTAGTAGTAGTAGTAGTAGTAGTAGTAGTAGTAGTAGTCGTAGTAGTCGTAGTAGTCGTAGTAGTCGTAGTAGTCGTAGTAGTAGTAGTAGTAGTAGTAGTAGTAGTAGTAGTGGTTGTTGTGGTTGTTGTGGTTGTTGTCGTCGTCGTCGTTGTTGTTGGAATTGTGGTGGTTGTTGGTGTGGTTGTTGTTGTTGTTGTTGTTGTTGTTGTTGTTGTTACTGTGATTGTGGTTGTTGTGATTGTTGCTGCTGCTCCTGTTGTTGTTGGTGTGACTGTGTTTGGTATTGTTGTTGCTGATGTTGTTGTTTGTGTTGCTGTAGTTGTTGTAGTTGGTGCTGTCGTCGTCGTCGTGATTGTTGTTGTTGTTGTGATTATTGTTATTGTTGCTGGTGTTGTTCGTGTTGCTGATATGGTTGTTGTTGGTGTTGCTGCTGCTATTGCTGTTGTTAACTGTTGTTGTTACTGTTGTTGTTGTTGTTGTTGTTGTTGTGGTTGTTGTTGTTGTCGTCGTGGTTGTTGGTGTGCATGTGGTTGTGGTTATTGTTGTTGTTTTCGTTGCTGCCGCTTCTGCTGTTGTTTTTTTATACGATTGCCATGGTTGTGTTTGTTGATGTTTTTGCTGCTCTTCCTGAGGTTGTTGTTTTTGTAGTTGTTGGTGTTGTTGTTGTGTTGTTGTTGTTGGTGTTATTGTTGTTGTTGTTGTTGTTGTTGTTGTTGTTGTTGTTGTTGTTGTTGTTATTGTTTGTGTTGTTGATGTTGTTGTTGCTGCTGCTGCTGCGGCTGCTGCTGTTGTTGTTGTTGTTGTTGTTGTTGTTGTTGTTGTTGTTGTTGTTGTTGTTATTGTTGCGGTTGCTGTTATTGTTGCTCCTGTTGCTGCTGTTGGTGTTTTTGAACTCCCATTTTTTGCAATTATTATTGTTGATCTTCCCTCTGGTGACCACTGTGTTTTTTCAATTGAAATGCTTCCCCTGGGGCTCGCACCCTGTTTTTTTTATCAGGGAGAGTCACTAGGCTCAACCTGTGCCCCTTGCCCCTGGGTTACAGCAACAACGGCTCTCGCCTGAGACTTCCTCACAATTTAGCCAGGACCCCCGCTCCCGCCTGAGACTTGTTTGCATTTTTCCCAGGAATCGCGCTCTCGCTGGGGATTTTCTTACAATTTATTCAAGAATCATTTTTTCGGCGCTCTGGAGTCGCGCTCTCGCTGGAGACTTGCTTGCAAGTTATTCAAGAATCACATTCTTGCGGCGTTCGAGTTCCCCCCAATTTACTCAAGCGCCGCGCTCCCGTTACTCGGGCGCCCAGGAGTCGCGCTCACGCCTAGGACTCCCTCACAGCTTACCTAGGAATCGGGATCTCGCTGCCCTTCGTGGCTTAATTGCAGCCCTTCGTGGCCCTCTCGCTGCCCTTGGTGGCCCCGGTGCAGCCCTTCGTGGCCCGCTCGCTGCCCTTCGTGTCCCCGTTGCAGTCCTTCGTGGGCCCCTCGCTGCACTTCGCGGCCCCGTTGCAGCCCTTCTTGGTCCCGTCGCTGCTTTTCGTGGCCTCGTTGCAGCCCTTCGTGGCCCCCTCGCCGCCCTTCGTGGCCCCGGTGCAGCTCTTAGTGGCCCCCTCGCTGCCCTTCGTGGCCCCGTTGCAGTCCTTCGTGGCCCCCTCGCTGCCCTTCGTGGCCCCATTGCACCCCTTCGGGGCCCCCGTGGCCCCGTTGCAGCCCTTCGTGCCCCCCTCGCTGCCCTCCGTGGCCCCATATATGTGTGCCCTTCGTGGCCTCCGCTCGTTCGCGCCCGTCGTGGCCCCATATGCAAGCGCTTTGTGGCCCCGCTGTCGCCGTTCGTGGCCCGCTCGCTGCCCTTCGTGGCCCCCTCGCTGCCCTCAGTGGCCCCGTCCTTGCCCTCGGCGGCCCAAAATGCGCATGCCCTTCGTGGCCCCCGCTCGTTCGCGCCCGTCGTGGCCCCATATGCATGCCCTTTGTGGCCCCGTTGTCGCCCTTTGTGGCCCCGTTGCTACCCTCAGTGGCCCCGTCGTTGCCCTCTGTGGCCCCGCATTATCTGCCCTTCGTGGCTCCCGCTCGTTCGCGCCCTTCGTGGCCCCATGCGCGTGCCCTTCGTGGCCCCGCTGTCGCCCTTCGTGGCCCCCTTCATGCCCTTCCTGGCCCCTATCAGTGCCCTTCGTGGCCCCGCTGTCGCTCTCGCTCTCGCTCTCGCTCTCGCTCTCGCTTTCGCTCGTTGTCGTCGTCGTCATCGTCGTCGTCGTCGTGGTCGGTCCCCTGTCCGTCTCTCTTGGGATCGGGTTGCCGCCGGTCAGCGCTGCCGCTGGCCAGGCCGACGGTCTGCGGCCGCCTCGCCGCTTGCCAGGGCCCGGCCTGCAGGGAAGAAAGATATTCCCCTCAAAGGGGGTACGATCGAGGACGAAGAGGCGGGTATCGAGGGTTCTGTTGAGTGGCACTCGAGGCGATAACAGTCTGAAACGGATTGGTGTTAGTGTTGCTGTTGTTGCTGTTGAATGTTGTTGTAATTGTTGTTTTTGTAGTTGTTGTTGTTGTCGTTGTTGTTGTGGTCGTGGTCGTGGTTGTGGTTGTCGTTGTGGTTGTTATTGTTATTCTTCTTTTGTTGTTGCTGTTGCTGTTGCTGTTGCTGTTGCTGTTGTTGTTGTTGTTGTTGTTGTTGTTGTTGTTGTTGTTGTTGTTGTTGTTGTTATGGTTGTTGTTGTTGTTGTTGTTGCTGCTGTTGTTGTTGTTGTTGTTGTTGTTGTTGTCGTTGTCGTTGTCGTTGTCGTTGTCGTTGTTGTTGTTGTTGTTGTTGTTGTTGTTGTTGTTGTTGTTGTTGTTGTTGTTGTTGTTGTTGTTGTTGTTGTTGTTGTTGTTGTTGTTGTTATCTTCGTTGTCGTTTCTGTTGTTGTGTGGTTGTTGTTGTGTGGTTGCTGTTGTTGTTGTTGCTGCTGCTTTTGTCGTTGTTGGTGGTGGTGCTGCCGTTGGAGGTGTCGTTGTGTTTGTTTATTTCCTTCCCTCTCCCTCCCTCCTTCCCTCGCTCCTTCGCAACGCCCAGTTCCCTCCTGCCTTCCTCTGCAGAGCCTAGGTCTCCTTTGCGAGGCCTAGGTCGCTGCTTTGCAAAACCCAGGCCCCTCCTTCTTTCCCTCCCTCACTCCCCTCCCTCCCTCCTTCGTCCCCTTCAGCTCCATCCTTCCCTCCGTCCCTTTCTTTACCTCCCTCCCTCTATCCACTTGCGCCGCCTTGCTCCTTCCGTCCTTCCCTCTACTCCAGCCCTTTCTACTTCCACCCCTCCGACCCATTTCCTCGGAGGATGAGGAGGAGGAGGATGAGGACGAGGAGGACGAGGAGGACGAGGACGCGGATGAAGACGAGGACGAGGAGGACGAGGACTAGGATGAAGACGACGCGGACGATGACTCATGAAACCATCTAGAGGTATTCTTGCGGCTG